AAGAGTGTGATTGTTACCTTCCAAGATGTGTGAGAGTGTGATTGTTACCTTCCAAGATGTGCAGAGTGTGATTGTTACCTTACAAGATGTGTGAGAGTGTGATTGTTACCTTCCAAGAGTTTGAGAGTGTGATTGTTACCTTCCAAGATGTGCAAGAGTGTGATTGTTACCTTACAAGATGTGTGAGAGTGTGATTGTTACCTTCCAAGATGTTTGAGAGTGGTGATTGTTACCTTCCAAGATGTGCAAGAGTGTGATTGTTACCTTACAAGATGTGTGAGAGTGTGATTGTTACCTTCCAAGATGTTTGAGAGTGTGATTGTTACCTTCCAAGATGTGCATGAGTGTGATTGTTACCTTACAAGATGTGTGAGAGTGTGATTGTTACCTTCCAAGATGTTTGAGAGTGTGATTGTTACCTTCCAAGATGTGCAAGAGTGTGATTGTTACCTTACAAGATGTGTGAGAGTGTGATTGTTACCTTCCAAGATGTGTGAGAGTGTGATTGTTACCTTCCAAGATGTGCGAGATTGTGATTGTTACCTTCCAAGATGTGTGAGAGTGTGATTGTTACCTTACAAGATGTGCAAGAGTGTGATTGTTACCTTACAAGATGTGTGAGAGTGTGATTGTTACCTTACAAGATGTGCGAGATTGTGATTGTTACCTTCCAAGATGTGCGAGAGTGTGATTGTTACCTTCCAAGATGTGCGAGATTGTGATTGTTACCTTCCAAGATGTGGCAAGAGTGTGATTGTTACCTTCCAAGATGTGCGAGATTGTGATTGTTACCTTCCAAGATGTGCAAGAGTGTGATTGTTACCTTCCAAGATGTGCGAGATTGTGATTGTTACCTTCCAAGATGTGCAAGAGTGTGATTGTTACCTTCCAAGATGTGTGAGAGTGTGATTGTTACCTTCCAAGATGTGCAAGAGTGTGATTGTTACCTTCCAAGATGTGTGAGAGTGTGATTGTTACCTTCCAAGATGTGCAAGAGTGTGATTGTTACCTTCCAAGATGTGTGAGAGTGTGATTGTTACCTTCCAAGATGTGTGAGAGTGTGATTGTTACCTTCCAAGATGTGCAAGAGTGTGATTGTTACCTTCCAAGATGTGTGAGAGTGTGATTGTTACCTTCCAAGCTGTGCAAGGTTGTGATTGTTACCTTCCAAGATGTGCAAGAGTGTGATTGTTACCTTCCAAGATGTGCAAGGTTGTGATTGTTACCTTCCAAGATGTGCAAGAGTGTGATTGTTACCTTCCAAGATGTGCAAGGTTGTGATTGTTACCTTCCAAGATGTGCGAGAACAATTTTCTCGCTTAAACATCTGTGTTAATGACGGCTTTTCGCTTAGTAGTCTCTCTCTCTCTCTCTCTCCTCTCTCTCTCTCTCTCTCTCTCTCTCTCTCTCTCGTATTTCAGATAGTCATGTCTTATCAGAAATATTTTTAATGTTAGACGTGAAATTCGTATATTTTAGATAATAAATTATGTACCGAATATTTAGATAGTAGATATTTAGAATATAGATGTTGAATATCTAGATGTTAGAATTTAGATAATTATGTCTAATGAACACGTAAATCTTTATACTTTTTTATATGGAATATATTTACTGTGTTGTTGTTGGTGTTGTTGTTGTTTGTGTTGTTGGTGTGTGCTGTTGTTTGTGTTGTTGGTGTTGCTGTTGTGTTGTTGGTGCTGTTGTTGTTTGTGTTGTTGGTGTTGCTGTTGTGTTGTTGGTGCTGTTGTTGTTTGTGTTGTTGGTGCTGTTGTTTGTTTGTGTTGTTGGTGTTGCTGTTTGTGTTGTTGGTGTTGCTGTTGTTTGTGTTGTGTGGTGTTGCTGTTGTGTTGTTGGTGTTGCTGTTGTTTGTGTTGTTGGTGTTGCTGTTGTGTTGTTGGTGCTGTTGTTGTTTGTGTTGTTGGTGCTGTTGTTGTTTGTGTTGTTGGTGCTGTTGTTGTTTGTGTTGTTGGTGTTGCTGTTGTGTTGTTGGTGTTGCTGTTGTTTGTGTTGTTGGTGCTGTTGTTGTTTGTGTTGTTGGTGTTGCTGTTGTGTTGTTGGTGCTGTTGTTGTTTGTGTTGTTGGTGCTGTTGTTGTTTGTGTTGTTGGTGTTGCTGTTGTGTTGTTGGTGTTGCTGTTGTTTGTGTTGTTGGTGTTGCTGTTGTTTGTTGGTGTTGCTGTTGTGTTTGTTGGTGCTGTTGTTGTTTGTGTTGTTGGTGTTGCTGTTGTGTTGTTGGTGTTGCTGTTGTTTGTGTTGTTGGTGTTGCTGTTGTTTGTGTTGTTGGTGCTGTTGTTGTTTGTGTTGTTGGTGCTGTTGTTGTTTGTGTTGTTGGTGTTGCTGTTGTTTGTGTTGTTGGTGCTGTTGTTGTTTGTGTTGTTGGTGCTGTTGTTGTTTGTGTTGTTTGGTGTTGTTGTTTGTGTTGTTTGTGTTGTTGTTGTGTTGTTGGTGTTGTTGTTTGTGTTGTTGGTGCTGTTTGTGTTTGTGTGTTGGTGTTGTTGG